CTTTTTTTTTTTGAGTTGGAGTCTCACTCTGTTGCCCAGACTGGAGTGCAGTGGCCGCACCCGGACACTGCAGCCTCAACCTGCTGGGCTCTGGCGATACTTCCACCTGAGTAGTCAGAATTACAGGCATGTGCTACCACATCCAGCTGACTTTTTACTTATTGTAGAGATGAGATCTTGCCAAGTCTTGCCAAGTTCGAGCTCGCAGGCTCAGTCAATCCACACACCTCAGCCTCCCAAAGTGCAGGGTTACAGGCTGAGCCACCGACCCCTGCAAGACTTTACTTTCTGAATCCTGACTATCGTAAATACTTATAAATTAGGTTGGATTTTGACTCTGATTCCTGGGCTGGAATACAGTGGAAAATTCATGGTCATTGCAGCCTCAACGTGATGGTATCAGGCCATCTTTCTCCTTTAGCCTCCTGAGTAGCTGGTGCCACAAACATTTGCCATCATGCCCAGGCAACTATTGGATTTATAGTTAAGACAAGTCTCACCAAATTGCTCAGGCTGGCCTGGAAGCCCTAGAGTAAGGCAGTCTGCTGTACTTTGCCTCCCAAAGTTCTGGAATCATAGGCATTAGTCACCATGCCCACTCTCTTGTTTCCTTTCTAGTCATCTGGCACTGTGTTGGAAGCACTTGTCCCCTCAAGTCAGCTGTCTCTAACTCCTGTGGTTTGGATTCTGGGCTCTGGAATATCTTCAACATTTATATCTTGATACCCTTCCCTTTCCACTGATTTGCCATAAATACAATGATTCTTTGTAATTCCCTTGATTCACTCTGGAGAGGCCAAATGCTCATATGGAAACATTAACATCACCTGGTGTGTGAAACAGAATCTCACAACACTTGCATTAATCACCTGGCAGCAGGAAGTGGTCACAAAATTATTGACTGATACACTTTGTCTCATAGCTAATTTTATGTCATTATGAGTTAGTACTGCATCTTTACATTTATTTACACATTTCCCAACTGCTGATGGTGCCATGCATACCCTGTAAGTGCATAAATTATAAGTTTACCTTTGTATGATAGATTTGTATATCTTTATGATAATAAATGTCAAAATAGACAAGAATATACTTCTATCTGATGTCCTCATGACTTTTTAAAGTATGTTTCTAAACTATGGTTCTGTGCGTTTCTTTTAAATGATCACAAATTGTCAACAAAGAAATTCCAGTGTATTTGTTGCAAAAACGTGGACCTATGCAGGTCAAACCCATGTTCTTCATGGGCTAACATTACAGTGAGAAAAATAGATGTGGAAATAACAAGACAGTATAGTCTTGACTAACCCTATTTGGAAAACAGCCAAGCCAACATCATTATAAATATAATAAATCAACATAAGATGTATGAGATAAATATAAAATTAGATTGAGCTGTTTACTATTGCATGGAAATATTGAACACAATTTATATACTCAATGTGTCAAAGTCCAAGTGGTAAAAATTACGATTACAGTTCTACATAAATGGTGACTTGAATGTAAAATATGAAATATTTCCAAAACATTTATATAGTGGTTTGAGTAAAATATGTGAAAAAATAAAAATAAAAGGTCATATCCAAAGATTTGTTGATATATGAGTTTGTAAAATAACCAGATATAAATTCCTAAATTTGGAATTAATGTGTCAAAGATAGAAAAATAAAACAGTATTAAAAGCAATATTAGAAAAAATACATGATACCACAAAAGAAAACACCTAAAAGCAGTGAGGGGCAAGGCATGGTGCCTCAGGAGTGTAATAACAATACTTTTTGTGCCTGAGGTGGGAGAACGTCTTGAACCCAGAGATTTGAGAGCTGCATGGGCAACTCATACCTATAAAAAATAACAAAAATTTTGTTGGATGTGGTAGTGTATGTTGTCCCAAGGTACTCGGGGGCTTAGGGGGAAGAATTGCCTGAACCCATAGGTTGAGCCATAATCAAGTCACTGAACTCTAACCTGGGTGGCAGAGAGATGCCACTCAAAAATGTGTGTGTATATAAATTCTTTTTTTTTTTTTGAGTTGGAGTTTCACTCTGTCACCCAGACTGGAGTGCAGTGGCCACTCCCAGCCCCCGCAGCCTTGACCTGCTGGGCTCCAGCGATCCTTCTGCCTCAGCCTTCCAAGTAGCTGGAACTACAGGTGCACCTGGCTCATTTTTGATTTATTGTAGAGATGAGGTCTCGCCAAGTTGTCCAGGTGGGTCTCAAACCCGGCAATCCACTCACCTCAGCCTCCCAAAGGCGCGGGATTACAGGCTGAGCCACTGAACCCAGCTGTATATAAATTCTAAATAGAAATATACAAATGAGTATAAATTAAAATTACAAAACAAAACTACACTAAAAGCATTAAGGCTATTTCCAAAACTTGTGTTTTCTTAAAAACAGTGAAACTAGTATTAACAGTGCTGATATAAAGTATTATTAAAGCTAGAATCGGATATGTTTAAAGAATAGGAAAAAAGAAATATTTTCCAGATAAAATACTTGAGAGGTTTGATTACCAATAGCAGCTTCTAAGAAGCATACTTTAAGAAGACAAAGTCATACTTCTGTATGAAGATATAACGGAAGTGAAAGTATAAGGGACATAATGAGAGAGAATCAACTTATGGTGGACAATGAATTACAGACACCGTGTTAATGGCAACGTAGGATTTTAAAACATTTAGATAGAATAAAAATGTAGCTTCACCCATTTTATTTAAATATAACAATTTTGTGCTTCCTAAATGACAAATGGAAGAATCATCTAGTTTTTAGAACATTATCCATCACTGACTTAATATGTGATTTGTCTTCCATTGCATATAATAGTGGCTA